GTGCGGCCAGAACAGAGGGAAGGTGGGGGGGGGGGGCGCGGCGCGAAAGGGATACAATTTTACTTGGCAGAAGCTGCACTTTCCTTTACTCCCCACTTCTTTGCCTCCTCCCCAACCAGCTATTTGGCTGCATTCTCCCCTTTGCTGTGTTACTCCCCCAAGCTCCCTCTCGTACCCCCACCCCACGCCCTCTCCTGCCGCCAAACTCCCTTCCAGGCCCTGCCCTCCTCACCCCTCCTGCCCCATCCCACTCGCTGGCAGCCCTGTCCGCACACTGAGCCCCACAGCCTAAGGGGGGTCCACAAAATCCACTAACTGTGGAACCTCAGAAAAGTAAATCCGGCCTATGGGAAGCCCTGGACCTCAGTCCTCCCGTCCCTTCCCCTGCCCCGTGGGGGCTGGATGCAGAAGAGTGAGGGGTCAGTTGGGGGCCACATCAGTGAGGGTTGGGGGTTTGGAGAGGAGATTTTTTGCTTCTCACTTGCGTGGTCCCCAACTGATTTCTCTGGGGGTCAGTGACCCCCGACCCAAAAAAGGCTCCTCACTCCTGCCATGAATTAAAACAAAAACAAAACCCTTTGAACCCTCTTGCGCTGGGCACAGTATTTTACTTAGTTTATCAAACTTCATTTTAAACAAACACAAACAACAACTAGTCTAGCAGCACCTTAAAGACGAACCAAACACGGAGATGGGATCATGAGCTTCCTGGGCACAAAGCTCCCGATCCACTCCCCGTGGTTTGCTAGTCTTTAGGGTGCTATTACCAGACTTTATTTTATTTTATTTTTCTAGTTACAGACTAACTCGGCTACTCCTCTGAAGCTTTAAAACACTTTATTGGTTGAATTTAAATTAACCCGTTCTCCCCAGCTGCAGCACCAGCAGAATGGCTGGGGCGTAATCGTGTAATGAACAGGGAGTTTCCATTAGCAACTGGCAATCTGCGGAAAGGTTTGCGTTGACCCGGGGTCCATGGGGCCCCGCACAGGAGTGGCACGGCCCAGGCCGGAGGGTTACATCTTGGCATGCCACTTCGGAAAGCCGGCTGACCCCTGGCCTACGGGTTTGCTGCACGGGTCTGGGAGCTGCATGGGTCAGAGCAACTTCGCCAGCAGCCCGGACAGCAGGAGTCTGGCTGCAGGGAAGTGGCTATGACGAGAAGGCGGCCCACCCAGCCACCAAGCCTCAGGAGAGCCTTTGGCAAGCAATGATGCCGAGAGCTGTTGCCCCGCTGTGCCGGGCAGGCTTGGTTCCGCGCCACACGTGCCTAGTGACCACGAGGTTTGGGATTCACTTCACTCCAGCCCTCACCCAGGTGTGCAGCTAACGGACATGCCCTCCTGGCTGAGGAGTGCACCACACTGCTGGGCAGGTGCCCGCTGGTCTGCATTCGCTCCATGCCTCAGGGAGACGGACTCATCTGACAGTCTGGGCCACGCTCATGTCTTGGCACAGCTTCTCGCCCGCCTTCACTGCCTCAGCGCTGCGAGGGCGGTACTGGAAAGGCACGGTGATGATCCCGGGTCTACCCGGGCTGTATCTGATTCGCCTCCAAGCCTCTTCCGACCAGCAGCTGCACACCCCTGCTCTGCACTGGGAGTGCGCCGAGCCGGGGGTGGGGGCCACATTCTGCACTGACACGCCAACGTGCTCCGACTCACCCCCCGCATTTACACTTTTCACGCCCCACTTGCCTTCCCTTGCGCCAGATGCCAAGCATGCTAATGGTTCTCCAGCTCTGCAGAAGCCCTGCACCTCCAGCTGTTCAAGAACAAAGGCTGGCAGTCGCTGGGTGTGGGGGGGGCGGTTACAGAGCTCGCTCAGACACATGCTAGCATAGCCCGCCAAGCACTGTTAAATAAGTGAACTGCTGGGACTGCACTCCCAAGGGAATGAAACCGACAGTTTGTACTTGCCACTGAAAACGGATGGCTCCTTGCTTCTTCGCGTATGTTAGTAAAGGGGGATTCCAGGATCAGGGCGTCCGGAGGAGTTTCTGAAAGAGGAGGGCACAGCACAGCCTGGTAAAGCACTGGGGCGCTGTAGGTGTACAAGGCACGGAACACTCAGCAAGGAAGGCAATATTCTCCTCTCGGCCCATTTCTGGGATGTAAAATAGCTCCGTGGGCCTCACCCCCGGAGCCACTGAGCTATGGCGAGCGTGTGCGGCAGGAGGTCACGTCGAAGGGCTGTGGTGAATGCCGGAAAGTGCTGGACGGGGTGTCTACGCTAATTCAGCCCTCGAGAGAGCTGCCAAGCCCAAACCCTCCATCCAGCCAGAGGACGGGGAAGTTCTCATCCAAATAGAAGTTTTTGACAATAGAGCCACCCAGCAGAGTGCAGAGCTCCCGTGGACGCCATGGTCTGCACCACCACCGCCTTAGAGCCCTCGTGGCGTGGTTTGGGAGGCGCCCGCGTCAGAGCACGCTGCAGGAGCGCATGGTAGAGCTGCGCTTGCAGCACATCAGCAGACAGGTGCGCAGGCAGACACCCAAGCAGCAGTTAGGGCCCCGAGTGCAACTTACACCGCGCAGCAAGTGCCCCTCGCTGGCCTTACCTCGCTCACAAAGGCGCCTCACTAAATTTGTTGCGACTCTGAAAGACAAGAAACACACGTGGTGTGAAACGGAGCTTGTCACTCACCGCTGGACAGCAGCAGCAGCTCCAAGCCACAGCCACTTACCAGACTCATCTCTGATCTCAAGGCAGCCGCACCGCAAGCCAGTGTCAGGGCTGAGGGCAGACCCTAGCGAGCAGTGGCGCAGTGGACGGATGCCCTGCGGTTCTCGACATCCCGTGCGGTACAGCCAGGGGGCATAACGGACACCTTCCCCCTCTTCCTACCCCCTTGTTTAATGACTGGGGATTGACGGCGCTGCCAGCCATCCAAACTCCACCTCCTTTGGATGCAGCGAGGGGAAGGCCTGGCTTGGCAAATCATTCCTGGCTGGAATGGGTTAGCTGGGTTTGGACTCGGTGACTCCCGAGGTCCCTCCCAACCCTGACCCTTCTAGGATTCTCCGCGAGATGCAGGATCTAGGTTCAGACACAATCTGCCTTCCCTAGTGCCTCGTGCTGCATGCGCGCTCCTCACACCACTGGGATTTCCTCCTGGAAGCCTTAACAGACCCCACCCCCTTTTTCACATAGCACTCCCCAAAGCCTCCACTTCCGCAGGCTCTGCAGCCCTCCTCCTGCCCACAAGCACCTGTTGCAAGGTCGCCAGTCCCTCTGCTGGCCCCAGGGACACCCACACGACGGAACAGGTAACGTGCGCCGAATGCACAGCTCCAGAGCCTGCACTTTTCAGCTCCTCGGGGAAGCCGAGCCGTGGGCCTTGTCTTCACTGCTATGCAAGGTGCGTTTTACCCTGGGTCCCTGCGGCCGCAGGCTAGCTCACGCGCACAGGGTAAAGACGAGGCACTTTTGTTCTACTAGGAGGTAAACTACGTGTCATCAGCACTGGAGGTGGCCGTGCCCGGTCTGATGCCTAGTACTGGTGTCTGTTCACTGTGCGTGTCGCGGGACGGTTCATGCACAGGAGTCACCCTGAAGGCACTCCTTTCCCCAAGCGCAGCCGAAGCCCTACTGGGGGGGTGAGTGGGGGAGACAGAAGGTGGAAGCTTACACATTTCGGATACATGGCTAGAGTTTATGTAATAGCCACACTTCCGTTACCGACATGCTGGGTGCAATAGCAGGCTTTCAGCAGCACAGAACCTGTGGCATCCTCTGCATGCCAGTCTCCGTTAGAATACAGCTGTTTCTGGAGTCACAGCAGCATATTTCCAGAGACAAGAGAGATACTTCCCGGGTTTCTGCCTGAAAACTGCATTGTGCTGTACAGGCAGGGCTTTGGCACAGTGTCTGGAACCTCCCGCCCCGCCCAGACGGACACGTATGCTCTCTTGTGACTGGCACACACACCAGCACTTGCAGGCAGGCCTTGCCTATTCAACCAGCGCTCTGCCTGTGGGACAGGCCTCAGAACTCTGACCTGGAAAGCGTTCCCGTGGCCTGTCTGCCCTGGGAGGAGCGCCGCAGGCCGTTGTAAAACATGAGCCTGCTCTCACCGGACACGTGCTCAGTTCTGAAGTGCCAGTGACATTTGCAGGCAGATTAACACGGGCTTCCCAAATGGTGGGTCCTGGCCCACAAGTGCTTGTGGGAGGATTTTAGATGGGCTGTCATATCCAGGCCAGCTCACCCCATCACTGGGCCCTGCCCCCAGTGCACACGCTCTTCTCCCAGCAAGCCAGCCCCCCGCAGAAGCGGCTCCTGACCTGTGGGGCCCCTGTCACAAACACTGGGGTAAATGGGCGCAGCGCCATAGCTGGCTATGGATGGCACCGCTTACACCAGGGATGATTTCCCCTGCAATTGGCTCTCTCATGACATGGGTGATGCTGAACTCGCTGCCCCAATACAGCCTCTGGCAGTCGAGGGCACGGGTGCTGCTCGTTGGCATCTCTCAATTCGAACGGGCAAAGCAGCAGCGACTAGATCCCAGCCAGACGAGAGAACTCGGGTCCTCAAGTGACACAGGCTGCACTTGGCACCGACCCACAGAGCTTGCTGGATGACTCTAGAGCGCTGCCGTGCGGAGGGGGCTTACCCTGTGCCTAAGGAGTGCCCCCATATGTAGACAGGGTTGTCTCCGCTTCTTGCTTTTATCCAGTCAAACACATGGAGCGCGTCGTAGGTCATTCCTCTCTCCGACGGCGTGCCCACCGAGTCGCCCCACCCTGCAAACAAGCATTGTAAGTCACACCCCCGTCTCCCAGCAGAACACGCCGTTGCTCCTGCCTGTGGGGCCAGGCGCATGCCCACACTGGGAAGGATCCAAATCGGAAACACTCCCGCTTACTCGATTGTCCCGCACACCGAAGCGGAGCTGGAATGAAAGACTGGCACAGCACAGGGGCTCCACGGATCTTGCTTAAAGCCTTAAACAAGCTTCCACTGGTAGAACTTGCCAGGCAGAGTCGTGGGCTTAGACACTGACAGCAAGAGCAGGACCCCTGCTGGAAGCGAATCGTCTGCTAGCCCTGCATTTCTGGTTCCTTGAGAGGCCAGCTCTGGCATGCAGCTTCAAAGGCCTCTCCGCAGATGCAGAGACAGCAGGGATCACTGCGGCCTGATCCCCTGTACAGCACAGGCCAGAGAACGTCAGCAAAGTAACTCCTGGAACAGAGCCTTCAGAAACCCCCAACTGTGATTTAACAGCCGTCAGTGGTGGGGAATCCATAGCCATGCCCGGTAAGCTGTTCCAAAACGCTGCGTTTCCCCTCACCGCTAGAGAGCGTGCCCATCTCCCCTCCGCTTGTCCCGTCTCTCTGGCCTGAACAGCCCTTACTAGCCATTGGTTCCCCCGCGGATACTAACAGACCCCTTCACCTTCTCTGTTCAGATGCATAAATCGAGCCCCAGGAGTCCATTAGGAAAAAGCAGGATTTTTAACCCTCTCCTCATTCTCAGGGCTCTCCTTTGACTCCCTCCCCTCCAATTCATCGACAGCCTTCTCGAACTGCAGGCTCCGGAGTGGGCACAGTGCTCCACAGCATCACGCCCATGCCACGTACAGCGCTAGCACACATCCGCAGGAGGCAAAACTAAACTGCAAAAAATGTGGCTGCCTGATCTCTGAAGAGACAGAACCAGCTGCGCAGTAGATTCCGCTGAGACCTTGTCCAAGAGCGTCACTGTGAAGCCACAAGAAGTGGTTACTCAACAGCTGGAAATCAGTAGGATTGGGGCCGACTGCAAAGAGCATATTTATAAATATGGCTCAGGTGACCCGCCCCCCTCCACAAGGGCCGTACACCAAGAAGCTTACTGCTTCTTCTGGGACTTAAATTAAAGGATTATGGCCAGGAATGTTACGAGCTTTTGGAAACAATTTACAATGAAAGTTTTCTCCTCGAACGGCAGGTGTGAAATGCTGTGAAACAGCAGCACCATGTTGCTAGATCAAACGGGAGAAGAGAACGTTCAGTTGGTGACACTTAGGAAAAAAGCACGGAGCTAAAAACAGACCTGCCCTGTTTGTGAGCAGTGGAAATGGTACCCACGCCCCTCTCAGTAGGTAACATACTTGCTGAGCACAGCCGCAGAGGGCCAACCATTGGGGGGCGGGGGGCATGCCGCATGAACAGCTTTCCAAACGCGACTGCTGGACAGCAGCTCGTTGGGGAAGGCAGTAAAGAGCCTCTAGAGAGCTCAGACTGTGTCTTACAAATAGTGACACTGGAGATTCAGTGGCTGCAGCCGTGTACATTCAGGCCATGAGCTGTGGGGTGGGCGGGCGGGTGATTAGGGCTCTAGCAGACCTGGGTCCTTGGACCTGCTCTGCATCGACTCCCAGGGTGACTGCAGGCCTCTCGGTGTCAGCGCCCACCTGAAATGGGCAGAGCAGCCCTGCCATACCTCCCAGGGATGGGAGGAGAGTAAACACTGGCTGTGAGATGGTCGGACACCAGAGCAAAGCGGGTCTCAGAACATCTCCTGGCTTATGTGCTACATAGGGAAGGACAAGCAGAGGCACTGGAGAAGGAGACACTTTCCAGTGAGATTTTAAGAACTCAATGAAAATCCAAGAGAAGTCTAAATTGGGAACAGCTTCTGAGGTGGGAAACACAGCCATTAGCAGGGAGATCAAAGGAAGACGGAGCTAAAGACAGCTCCTAACAACCAACCACTCACCTCGATAATCAAACGTGACGACATGGTAACCGAGGAAACTCAGGACCTAAACAGAAGAACAATGTATTGAATACACTACCACACATGGAGTAACAGCTGCACCGTCACTTGAACCCCACCCCCGAGTCAGGATGAGGCCGTGGGAGAAAGCTCTCTAATTCACAGGGCTGACCCCAGACCCAGAAGAAGGGAGTAGCCCGTGAGCCAATTAGCGGCTATTGTCAGTTTATTTCTGCTTTCCCCCCAGCCTCAGTGCGGAGAGAAGGACAGACTAGTGGTCAGGGGGAGGGCCCGGAACTCATGAGCCTTGGGTTCAATTCCTCGCTCTGCCACCAACTCCCAACGTGCCTGCCGACAAGGCACTTGGCCTCTGTGCTGGAGTTCCCATTGGTGCAATGGGGACAAGAGCACTGCCTAAGGGTGTTGTGAGGATAAACACTTTGCACACAGCAAGGAGGCGATGGGAGCTGGCATACCTAAAACGGATCATGCCACCGCTACTTGTCCTGTGCGCTCCCGGAACTGCCGGCTGGGTGTGACCTCTACATTCTTGCAGCTGTGACGGCCTGAACCATCAAGGTCACTTTTTGCATAGAACCAGGAACCTCTCAAGAGCCTTCAAGTCTTGTTAAATCTTCCCTTGAACATTCTGTCTCTCTCTCTCTCTCTCTCTCTCTCTCTCCCTCCCCCCTCCCCCCCCCTTCACAGCTTTGCACAAGAGACAGGGCCTTAAGGAAGCCTCATTTTCATTTGTGCGAACAGCCACCTTTCTTGTTTGCATCAGCGCAATCTGCAAACTCAAGCAGAACTCCAAAAGGAGATGGATCAAACTCCAGCCGCTCTTCTGGAAACTATTTTATCGTTACGGATTTCAAATGTCTGCTGCTGTCTCGCCACACACCCCTACCTTGAGTGCTTTCAGTGCAACAGCACAGAGGCGGCCTTATTCATACTAATCAAATGTTCCTACCCAGCTGATACAGGGAATACATTTTGTGGACTCTTGTGAATGTTTAATGGCTTGTTTAGGTCCTGAACACTTTTAACTAGATCAAAAGTATCATCTAAAGTGCATTGTTTAGAGAGCTCGTCTGTTACATTTATGTTTTAGCACTGGTGACCCTCAAACTCGGTGGCTAACTACAAATAGCCACATGAATAAACGATTTTTTTTAATGCCTTAGCAAAAGTGATGTTAAAGTTCCAGACTTGGAATGTTTTCAGGGCCCTGTCGCGGGTAAAGTCTGTTTGGGCATTTGCAGGGCCTGTCTGCACAGGGAAGCTGGAGCAATCAAGGCAACCCCTTTGTGTGAATACTTGGAAATAGAAGCCGCCACCTATTCTAGCCAGGAGAGCCGGACTGAGTTACCGCGACATCGGTGCGGTGCACTGGGGATAGCAGGCAGGGAAGGCTGGCTTTACGTGTTTTCCAAGAACTAGAAACAGAAGCTTTTGTGTTGACACAGCCCCGGATGGTACATAGTACAGCTGCCTGGGCTCGCGTACAGCACACATGCAGCTCCAAGACACCACTCCTATTGTTTCAATTGCTGCGGGGAGTAGGCCTGCTCTGTGATCGGCAAAACAAAGCGGCCTGGGGGAGCTCTCCAATACCACAACAAAGGTGCCACCACCACACAACAGGGTCAGTCACAGACGCCTACGATTAGGTCAGCCAATCCCTTTCATTCCAGAGACCTCCGTGACTTTGGGACACCACAGCAGCCCAGGCAATCAGCCAGCCAGCCAGCCACTGCCTCCAGTGGAACCCACCCAGGCGCTCCAGCCAAGTTCCCCAGGGCAGCAGGGTAACCTCAGGAACTGCTCAGCCACCACTAGAGGTGGTGGGGCAACCAGGGCAGCTCCCCAGCCCTGCAAGCAGTTAGGGGACCACAGAACTCCCTAGCCCCCTGCACAAAGCAGGGGATCCCCCATGCCTGCAGAGCAGTGTGGGATTCAGCCACCAGCTCGCAGTCCTGGGTCCCGGAGCTCCCAGCCATGCAGGGTGGTGGGGGATCCCCCCAGTCACTGCATGCAGTGGGACAGGGTACCGCTGGGACCCTCCTGGTTTTGCAAGGATGTTTTTAGTAAAAGTCAGGGGCAGCTCACGGTTCCGATGAATGTTTGTTTATTGCCCGGGACCAGTACTAAAAACACCCAGGACAAAGCTTGGAGCCTTCATCACGTGGCAATTTCCAGCTACACTCCTTAAAACTCACCGCAACCGAGACGGGGCCAGCCCTGGTGCGTCGATGGGATGGCAGGCTGTAGCGCCCCTCTACGCTCTTCATGGTGTGACCCATAACGGGAGGCGCTACGTGCCGATACCGTGCTTTTCATCAGCCCAGCACAAAGTGCTTCAGAAACTGGGCCGTGGCACCAGGGCGTGCGTAGGGACTCAGCTCAGAGCACCGTCACTGGACATGGCAGGTGCCCCCATCTTTCATGCTGGTCGCCACAAGGACGTGTCTGATGATCTGCATCTTTTTCTTCCCTGGCACCACCACGCAACTACCTGCGCCGCAGAGGGACTCGCCTCCATTTCTCTCTCCCTCCGCTAGCTCGCTTCCCGTTGGTTCACAACATTTCTAGCCATCTCCTTCACACCCACCAAAACAATCAGCCCCAGACTTCTGAAGCTCCTCTATTGCAGGCAGCAAAAGGAAGCGTCTTGGTTTCATTGCTGCACCCTGCAAGACACACCGTGCTGCTCAGAAACCTGACCCTGGGAAGGAAAACAAGGGAAGACAACCTGAACTGCTACATCTGTTCTGAGTCATGCCAGCACTTCCCAGACTCTGGACAGCTCCACCGATGCTCAGAGCCTATGGGCAACCCCAGACCTGGCTAACTTGAATTTGCTGTTAGACGCTTACAGGGTTGTTGTTTTACATACTGCTGGCAAATGGACTACGTATCATTCTGGAGTCCAGCTGTTGCAATGCAGAGTACAGATGAGCTAACTGAGGCAGGCAGGTTAAATAACTTTTCTAAGGTCATACTGCAAGGCAGCAGCAGAGCCAGGACTAGAACCTAAGTACCTGGCACTCAGTCCTTGGCTACACCCACTAGACTACGCACAGGCTCCATTCTGTAGCTAGGGTGTGGTTTTTAAACACACAGTGCCTGTTGTTCCTGCTCAAGTACACAATAAGTACATAGCTAATTTGTCCGTATGGGCAAATGGAAGGCGTCTTACAGTACGCAGTGATCCTTGGAAAGCAAAATGATCGTTTCATTACATTCCCTTTAAACAGTAGGTGCCATTTTGCCAAAACTCAGTTGCTCTTCGTTTTGGACAAAAAAAACTTATCTGCCTCTCAAGTTACCAAAGAGCACAGCTGAGTGACCGGAATGAAGATACTTTGCTAACAGGGATTTCACAGGACAAGCACCTTGACAACCAGATCATTTTACAGGCATCAGTACTTGGATACTCGTTATAAAGGGAAAGCTATAAACCCAGAGCTCATCATACCAGGCATGTCTCTAAGGAACAGTAAGTAGGCCGATGGTCCAGTCTACAGAAAGGGTCAGTGCTTTTATTTGCTCCATCTGCATCACGTAACAGCCTGGAGAAGCAGAGTCACTTACCTTGTAAAGCTCCACACGGTGATCCCCTCCCCTACGAAGGAAACGTGGGGAAAGAGGAGGAAAGGGTGTTAGTATTTATCTTCCAAAGACACCAGTCTTCAGAGTTGTACTTTTGTCTCCAGGTCTCTAATTAAATACGGACAAACAGTGAATTCTACAAATACAGATGTTAAACAGCTTGCCTAAGGATGTGGCCAGTAGCTTTGACATGGTAACAACCCCTAATTTGGGGTGGGCAAGACAGCGTCCACGGGCTGGATCCGGCCCGCCAAGTGAGTTGATTAGGTCCCACAGCCGTCCTGCCACTCCCCCATCTCCAGGCCAATTGAGACCTTGGGACAGGGGAGTGCACAAAGTCTCCTCCCTCTGCCGGGGACGTGCAGCACCAGAGGGAACCGACAGCTGTTTTGAACAGCTGGGGGTTCACTCTGGGGACCACGTGCCCCGTGCAGGGTGGGGGCAAGAGAGACACTTTGTGCACTCCCATGCCCTGCGAAGCCTCCTCCCGCCACCAGGAACATGCGGCACCTAGAAGGAACCACCAGCGGTTCTCTCTAGGCGCCAGAGGGTGCAGGGGGGAGACTTCATGTGCTCCCCCACCCCAATCAGAGTCTGTGGGCAGGGGAGTGCAGGGAGTGTCCTAGCCCTACCCCTTCCACCCACGGCCCCACCCCTTTCAAAACAGCCCAGGACCCCTCCGAAATTATTGCCCACCCCAATTTCGTCATTGGACTACACAGCAAGCCCTTATTCTGAACACTGTCATCCTGCCCACAAACAAGGAAACACATGCAGAGGGAATGTCAGGTCTACCAAGAAAATCAAAGTTTTCACTAGCTTGTGGTACACTCTTCAAAAAGCCCAATAGGCAATGAGCCACACCACCTCTTACCAGGACTTATTTTAAAGTTATTAGTCAGCTTGTCCTCAAACATATTGCTAATTCCTGGCCGACACTCCAGGGAAGTGAACAGACATGGCTTCAGACGCTGCAAAGAGAATACCGACACATCTCGTTTCATTTACTAGACGGTCGACTCACGGCACAACACTGATCTTTTGCTTTGTAGCTCTCCTGCAAGAATTAATGCATGTGGAACTGCCTAGCGTTGCCGTGGCCCGGCTGGGGTTAATGCCCCGTGACCAGCAAGAACCTTGACGCTGGCTTTTTTAGCAAACGCACTCCACCTCAAGCCAGACAGTCCATTCCTGGGGCAAGGCAGAGCGTTTGCTTGGGAAGCTATGCTCTGTAGCCAGACAGCTGGCCTTCTGCTTGCTGTGTGAGGAAAAACCAACTGTGCCCCATTAGCATCCTTGCAAGCCACAAAGCAAGAGAACGACCAGGGGCCGTCAGTGCACGCTTCAGTGCAAGTCACAAATACATAAAAGTACCTGGCTTGGGTGCTTGGTCACTGACCCAGGAATCAAAGTACGTGCCCAGACACCCACCCCTCTGGCTCCTCTCTGGCCAGTGCTGAGATAGTTCGGGCACGATCCACGGGAAGCTGCTTTTTGCCCTCAGGAGCTGGAGGGACGGCTGCTGCAGCACACGCCATTTCTACACATCCAAGCTCACAGCAGCATAGCTGTGCCAGCGTGAGAACGCCCAGCTAGCTGCACTGTGCCGACAGGAGAGCGCTCTTCCCTCGATGCAATCAAACCCGCTCCATGAGCGCCCACGTCGCTCGGGTGCAAGTGTGGACCAGGGATGCTAACGTCTGGACGTTTCAGCAGTTACATGCGAGGGGCAGCTGGCTCCCCACACGTCCTGGCTCCCACCTGCCGCACCGCACTGGTGCCTGATACAGAGGCAGTGGTGCAGGCAGCTCCCCAGGAACTCACGGTGCCGGGAACTGTTTCTTAAGCTGGCTCCCTATGCATCCTGGGAGCCTGCATGTAACCGTGAGCGTTAGCCAATTAGCCCATGCTCCTCGGTTAACTGTTTACACAGTCACACTCACATCCTTAGTGTAGACACGACTTCTGGTCCTGAGGCCAAGAAATGGGTTCGAACAATAGGGAGCAAAAGGAGGAGTGGAAAGACCCTCTCGCCACACAAAAAGGAGCAATGACAACGAAGAGTGAGATTCTGGCGAATTACATCCTTGATCTCTCACAGGCACAGAAATATCACTGGCCCTTTTCTGTATTTTCCTACATCACACAAAATGAATCTTCTGCAGCCAAGCGAGACGCATCTTGTCTCAGTCCAGAAACCAAGTTAGGGTTTTTCTTCCACACCTCAGTGACTAGCAGACAAAAGTTGCATCATTTATGGATTTCAGCTCTAACAGTATCTGGATGTGCATTGCAGAAAGACACAGCAATGTCAATGAGGACTGAATGGCAGGGACGCAGGTTGCAGCTTTTCCAGTGCTAATAACAAGATAAATTACGCAAGGCATACATGATTTCTTAGCATTTAATTTTGGTGACATGCTGTGGTGCCCAGAGTGCCTCTAACCTGTGCAGAATGGGAAGGTGCTGGTCACAACCAATTAGAGTTCTTCCGTTATTACAAGACGCTATGCTGTCAATATATGGCTGCAGGAAAACCTTGGATATCAGAAATAACGTGATCGTAGAACTGACTACTATGCTATAACCCAGAAGTACAAGAGGCTGCCAAACATGAGTTTGCTCATGCATTTCAGGATTTCAGAGAGCTGAGTCTTGCAGACCTTTCCTCTGCTGCCTTAGGGTTTTGTATGCAATAAGACATTGCGAAAAAACAAACTGGACAGAAAAATGAGCCCTTCCTGGGATGAAAAGGCTGTTGAAGGTTCAATTGCATCTTATTACCAGTACAACCAAGTCAGGGGATAGTAGTTTACAGAAGTGCTGTAACTAGAAGTGCACAGAGAACCGAAATAGTATTCCAGTCATGCTAACCAGATCAGAACACAGCTCTGTTATAATGATGTCCCTTGTGCTATAGATGCTTTGAAAGAACATGGCTTTAATGAATTCAGGTGTGCCACACCCCCCCCACTCATGGGAAAGCCAAAGTGCTGCAACACAGAGATCAGATGGGAAGCTCACCTACACATGCTGACGTAACATCCCGCCCTACTAATGCAGTAGTTTTTAGCATTCAAAGCCCTGAGAATTTACATGCCCAGTCCAGGGTATGAAACGCAACCAATGCTGGAGAAGCCAGCAGGAACATAAAATGTTTCTATCCTGTACACTCACCACACATCCGACAAACAGAACAGAACAACAGAACTTATATAAATTCAGTAACTGTTCCCTCTGCCTCAGTTTTCCTTTCCTCAACATTATACAATTATAAAATGAACGGACGGTGGCAGCTGGCAATTGCATTTTGGCTGCATGTAAAAAAAGCGGCTTAGCCAACTTCTCACCGCTATTTTCATTCCAGAGTTTACACAGACATCTGACAATGCTGGGAAAAAGCACCCGCTTCTCTTCCCCACGTTGCCCAGTAAGTTCCAAAGCCTCTTGGCACTCTGACAAGCATATGGAAACTCATCCCTTCCCTCGCACGTCCAGACCTCTGGAAGGAGCACTGGAAAGGCACCCAACGACACGAACCTTGATCAGCTGTAAATCTAACAAGAGTCAGTTCTCTCTTCTCCACGCTTACCAAATCCAAAGAAATTCCATTTTTAAAAGCAGGTGTGTTTTTTAAACCCACGGGAGCAAACTGCTCTGGCACTATTCGGCCCAATTTCGCAAGCCACTGTACACAAGAATACATAACACCGAAGAAATGCTGGGCCTGCAGAAGTGATGCTTGCTCCTTACCTAGTTCCTGCATTTCCATGCAAATAAAGGATTACAGGATAATTGGATCCCAGAGCGTCCTCATACCACGGATGGCCTTTGCCTTGAGCATCTTTCCACAAGGCTGTGGGAACTGTGTGCCTAGGGCAGAAGACAGGAAATTAGTATTACTTGGTTACTGAATTTTTCCATCCTCTAAATCAGATTTGTTGACCTCAGTAGGACAGAAGTGCAGTTGGAGACAGAAAATGCAGAGACAACATTTAGATATGAATGAAACATTTAAAATAGCAAATACTCCAGCTCCTTGCTTTTCAATCCACGTGTCCATTTCAGGCCACACCACCACCGAGACACTGAAGTATGCAATGATCCTTTCCAACTCTCCCCTCCCACTACCAGCCTCCAAATGTAAGAGTTTAATTTTAATTGAAGGCAGAACATAAATCTGAGCCCACTGGACAGCTCAGAATGAAAGAATAAATAAAATCAACAAACAAAAATAAAAATAAATCTGAACCACTAGCACAGCCTGGAACTACCATCAAGCAGGTAAAGGAAAACGAGGAGGCTAGCTCTGGAGTAGTTTTAGAGAAGGAGCTACAGCCTTCTGGTATCTGCTAGGCTGTGAGGCTGAGAGAGTTCTAGGTTTGCCACTAAGGCAAAGGCTGCTGGGAAAGAAGTTTCTCCTGAAATCTAGGACTCAAAACAGGCAGACTGGAATCCCTCACTGAATAGGAAACCCCACCTAGTAGATCACAGAATGAAGCTTAAGCTGGTGACTCCCAACCGAGTGCGTTGTGCATGCTTTTGTACTGATTAACTGTAAAACCGAGTGCTGGGACTACTCTGAAATCCCTAACCTAGCTCGACTCCAAGACCCCAAATCTATCTCCGTGCATCGCACTTTTCTACTGGGCTCGAGTTTTCTTTTCGCTGAAGGAGACTAAGAAATGGCAAGTGACAAGTCTGTTTTGATTAATTTAGTATCTCAGAATTACCACCTTCATACTCTAGCAAAGAGACGTCAACGTGCCAGCAATTCAAATCATTTCTAGATTTCTGATCTACTGAATTTTGCCTCCTAAACCTGGCTGTACAGAACAGTGTGTTGAGCAAGACTGTCAGACAAGCAGGCCACGAACGCCTTAGACGGCTCTAGAGTGAAATCCTGTACGCCTTGCTATTCTGAAGCGAGCCTTTCACTTCTTGCACTTTTATCATTGTCAGTGGTTTATTTACCACTTAATTACTGTGAACTAAGAGGTGAGACACCTCTGAGATTTACATGAAAATGATCTGGTATTTGGACCAAATGCTGAGTCAACAGTGCTCTTAAGACTTCAAGGTCTTAAACTTAGGCACAGGTTGAGAAGGCACAAGCTAATTTATTCCTCAGGTAGAAAAGTCACTGCTCAATGTCAGTGTAAAACTGAGCTATGTTATCTCTGACACAGAGCAGGATACAAGTCCATTAACATTCACATGGAGGCGGAGGAGAAGTGGAAGAAGGATAGAGACAGCAGGTCTATACATCTTTAATCCACACCCAGTTGAGAGTGCGTTGCTGAAAAACTATCCCAAAATAACCTCACAGGACTCGCAGAAGGACCGGGGACCAGAAGAGCAGCTGAGCAGACCGAAGGTAGAAGAGTCATCCCAGAAAATTAGTCATGGAGGAGCAGCCATTGAGCAAGGGCAAAGACTCGGAGCAGAACACTGAGCTCCAGCGTAACGCTTAGGGAGCACCTGAGCCTGGAACTGGGATCTGGAGACAGGCATGGCTTCACGTCCCCCCTCGCCACGCAGTCCATTCTGCTGATGGCGGTTACTTGCCCTCCAGCTCTCCTGAGGCTGGGTGTTACTGTAGGGCTCTGCTGAGAGTCCTGATGTCAACAAGAGCGCTGAAGCCTTCCAATTGTTACACTTTTCCAACTTGAAAATGCTCATAAGCAAACAGCATCTCAGACGGAGTCACGCTGCCGCCTCCTCTCTTCTGGGGATGAAGAGGGGGCAGGAGCATTCAAAGGGCATCCTTGGCCACCTGCTACACTGGAAAACAGTGGTGGGCACCTGCTGATGGCGAGGCATGGCCCTGAGGCACTGTGGAGCAGGGCGAGGGCCATGCTGTGTAATGGAGGAGAGGGTTAGCCCAAGGGACCCTCACCAGGTCTCTGTTCCATCTCCGGTTCCCTGCCAGCACAGGGAAGGGAAGGGCTGGACAGCTGCTGCATGCTGAACAGATGTGTCTGCAAGGCTGGATGGGAACCCTGCCTGTCTCTTTGATAAAAGGCTTCAACCTACACTCCACCTGCATTACCGGGGGAAGAGAAGGAGGCGAGGGAGCCACCACTTGCGGATCCCGGGAATGTTGCTGTCACCTCTGCCAGGCTCAGGGGATTTTGTCGTGAAGATGCCGCTGCTGCTTGTAGGGAGCTGTCCTGCTGAGGAAGGAAGGCTGCAGGAACCCCTGTCCCTGTCTGAGCACTTGACCCAGGGCTGGGTCTCCCAAGAACGGGCACAGACCTCCACGCAGGCCCTGAATCCACAGGGAAGAGTCAGGAAACAGCATCTGTTTCCCCCTCAGCCCCTTTAGCCAGGCTGCATTCCATGCGGGCGAGCCAGGGTAGAGTCCCAGGCACCATGGAGAAAGAAACCCTCTCTGCCAAAAACGGCAGCACTGATCACCTGGAGATTTTATGCCATTTTATACCCTTCTTTTTCCTCCTTGATATTTGCTCTGCAGAAGAAAGGACCCGGCCTGCCTGCAGCTGGAGAGGCAGACAAAATAGGACACTAACGCAATAGGGCAGCCAGCCACATGGCCCAGTCTCTGATCGATAGGTTTGGTCTACTTGCAAGGATGCACCAATCAGACTATCCACCTCGTTACAAGTAAGGAAAGCTTTGTGTGGCATAGGCTATCACTGCACCCTTCAGAAAAGGATACTGCGCTTCCAGGCAGTTCAGGATTGAAACCCTACCACTGTAATCAGTGTTATGACCACACACACTATAGCACAACTCAAACTTTGGCTTCCCTGGGTGGATCGTTAAAACTAGCCCCATCCCTGCCAGGATCCGAGAGTGCGCCTAACCTGTGTTAGCTGATGGCTACTCTTACATACATCTCCACTCTGTAATGGTCTCTCAAGCCAGAGGGGACTTTCTTCAGCTGTAAAAAGGTACAATGAGAGAGAGCAGAAAGCTATCCGCAGATGCTCAGCACTAGCTCATTAGACTAGACATTTTGGAAGCTGACCGGCTCAAAAAGAGATTTCATGCAGCACCAGCCGCACCGTCTGCATGCCTCAGACAACTCACCTGAGGATGCAAGAAACTCCCTAATGTTAAGCATCTTCAATTCTCTATGAGCTAAAAAGCGAGAACTGCATTTCAGTTCCAAACCCCTGGGTTGTGCTGGTTCAAACAGAAGCAACGCCTTTCCACTCCCCTGCTCTCTGGAGAACATTCCTCCTCCCACTCCGAGTTCTCTGTGTAGCATGGGAATGGAGGTTTGTAACTAATAAGTCAATTATAATGAATGTATGTTATAGCAAAAGGATTGGATTAAACGTCAATACAAGATGTGGGCCTCACAGGGCCAGGCAGCTTTGTTATCTTGGCTCCAGCTCTGTTTGATGTTAGCATACTGAAGTGCAGAAACAGAACATCCTCAGTTTCTGCCTTCCGCTGCATTTCTATTGCAAGATAGAAGAACAGGAACAGGAACTGGAGGATG